AAAGCACATGTGTTGACTTTAATTTGGGTTATTTCTAATCCTAGAATGCAACTTGGGTTACAAAAATATCATAAAATATGGGCAGAGTAAGTTAGCAGGCTGTGGCTGTTCATTGGAGCTCCGCTGCTGGTCCTCCGTGTGATGCAGGGCTGTCGCAAGACACCGGAGGCTGGCTGGCTTACTGTTTGTTGACGTTAGCAACAGGGCTGCGGCTCTTGTTGTGAATTAGACATGAAAGTTATAAGGCTAGCGCCCCCAGTGGCAAAAAGTTACCTGGTGCGCATTTAAAGGAATGGTTCAACATTCTGATGTAACACAGATCATTCCCATTTTTCCCATAGATAAATACATTTTCACTGATCTCAAATTTAATAATTAAATGATAAGTAAACATACACTATATTGCCAAAAGTATTTGCTCACCTGCCTTGACTCACATATGAGCTTAAGTGACATCCCGTTCCTAATCCATAGGGTTCAATATGACGTCGGTCCACCCTTTGCAGCTAGAACAGCTTCAACTCTTCTGGGAAGGCTGTCCACAAGGTTTAGGAGTGTGTTTATGGGAATTTTTGACCATTCTTCCAGAAGCGCATTTGTGAGGTCGCACACTGATGTTGGACGAGAAGGCCTGGCTCTCAGTCTCCGCTCTAATTCATCCCAAAGGTGTTCTATCGGGTTGAGGTCAGGACTCTGTGCAGGCCAGTCAAGTTCATCCACACCAGACTCTGTCATCCATGTCTTTATGGACCTTGCTTTGTGCACTGGTGCACAGTCATGTTGGAAGAGGAAGGGGCCAGCTCCAAACTGTTCCCACAAAGTTGGGAGCATGGAATTGTCCAAAATGTCTTGGTATGCTGAAGCATTCAGAGTTCCTTTCACTGGAACTAAGGGGCCAAGCCCAGCTCCTGAAAAACAACCCCACACCATAATCCCCCCTCCACCAAACTTTACACTTGGCACAATGCAGTCAGACAAGTACCGTTCTCCTGGCAACCGCCAAACCCAGACCCGTCCATCAGATTGCCAGATGGAGAAGCGCGATTCGTCACTCCAGAGAACGCGTCTCCACTGCTCTAGAGTCCAGTGGCGGCGTGCTTTACACCACCGCATCCGACGCTTTGCATTGCACTTGGTGATGTATGGCTTGGATGCAGCTGCTCGACCATGGAAACCCATTCCATGAAGCTCTCTGCGCACTGTTCTTGAGCTAATCTGAAGGCTACATGAAGTTTGGAGGTCTGTAGTGATTGACTCTGCAGAAAGTTGGCGACCTCTTCGCACTATGCGCGTCAGCATCCGCTGACCCCGCTCCGTCAGTTTACGTGGCCTACCACTTCGTGGCTGAGTTGCTGTCGTTCCCAAACACTTCCATTTTCTTATAATACAGCTGACAGTTGACTGTGGAATATTTAGGAGCGAGGAAATTTCACGACTGGATTTGTTGCACAGGTGGCATCCTATCACAGTTCCACGCTGGAATTCACTGAGCTCCTGAGAGCGACCCATTCTTTCACAAATGTTTGTAAAAACAGTCTGCATGCCTAGGTGCTTGAATTTATACACCTGTGGCCATGGAAGTGATTGGAACACCTGATTCCAATAATTTGGATGGGTGAGCAAATACTTTTGGCAATATAGTGTATAAATAGCTAAATGTTCCCTCTCCCAGTTAAGAGGTATTTATCTTTAAACATGTTTTTTTAGAAATGAAATTTATTAAAGGAGAAGCAGCAAGGAATAATCAATGGATCATTATTGTAAAGAAGCTTCTATAAAATCATGCAAAACTGGTGGATGTCTTTGCACTCGCAGCTAGGTGTCGATGAGGACAAAAACTGGAGTTGGAATTTCCCTTTGGTATTTATTGAGCTGTTTGAGCAGTTGTACATACATGAAGATGTGGAGATTGTAGAAGATGTGGTCTAAAATTACAACAGAAATAGACCTTATCAGTTTACCTGATGAATACTTTTGCAGCAATGAAAGCTGCTACTGTTAACTCACTTCACATGCTTAATAACTACAAAATAGCTAATGGGAATGGCTTACTGACAAGTTAAACAAGTTAGAAGCTTAACAGGAGCATGTCTAGTAAAAAAATTGTTACTAATAACAGAACATAAAACTAAAATACTAAGAGTTACTAAGAAAACTCAAAACCGCAGTAAAATAATGGGAAGAACTCTCTAATTACACAGCACATGTTGGTAGGAAGAAGATAACGGTGCAGCATGCTAATAACGGTCTAATAAATTTCTGTATCATTATGCAACACAAACGAAACTAGTGTAATATAATGAACAAGCATTACTTAATAAGTCCATAACACACATAAACCACAAAGGAAACTGTCGTTATCAGCTACATGCAAGCAGAGATGGGAAGTAACGAAGTACAAATACTTCGTTACTGTACTCAAGTAGATTTTTCTGATATTTTTACTTTACTTTACTACTTATTTTTATGGCGACTTTTTACTTCTACTCCTTACATTTTTACACAAATATCTGTACTTTCTACTCCTTACATTTTAAAAAATTGGCTCGTTACTTTAGTTTTGAATAATTTCAATGGAGTTACCGTTATTATTTTTCACGTCATCAATACCAAATTCAATCTAATTGGATGGGAATCTACGTTGCATTTGACGCACCACTACAAGATGAATCGACAGATTCGGCGGTATTCATTCGCGACAAATCATTGCAGCTTGGTGGCGGTGGCGTTAGCATAGTAGTATGGACGACGAGATGATTGAAAATGAACACAACGGAGATCTAGTCCTATTGGCAGACATCCATTTAAAATGTAGGCAACGGCATGAAAAAAGTGGTTTCTACTTTTACTTTTATACTTAAAGTAAATTTACAAGCCTGTACTTTGTTACTTTTACTTGAGTAAAGAAGTTTAATCAGTACTTCCACTTTTACCAGAGTATTTTTTAACACAAGTATCTGTACTTTTACTCAAGTACGGAAAGTGAGTACTTTTGCCATCTGTGCATGCAAGTACTCACAGACATACCTCTGCAGTTTTATAAAGTGCTGAAAAAGCTCACCAGCAGGTGGCACTCTTACTCCATTCAGGCTTCCACTCAGGTTCAAAATAACAGAACAAAAAGTACTCAACACAATTATGCAATGTGAAATATGAATATCCAATAAAAAGCAGGAGCATTTCTAACAATTATATATACCTAAAACTAATACGTTTGTGGTGATTTCATGAATTTGTTGTTAATCGGTAAGAATAAAAACAATTTTCGTTGCGACCACCGAGTTTGGGAGCATTTTTACTCAAATATAATAACACTGTTCTCCGGACATCTTCCGGCAGTGACATCACGGTGCGGTAAGCCTAGCGCCATTCTTCCCGCTTTACAAGCAATATCAATGGGAACAACTAGACACATCTGTGATCAATTATTATAGTTAAACTGACAATGCCTACGTGCATGGCAGTTGGATGTTGTAATACATTGAGTAAAAGTAAAAAAAAAAAAAAGAGCTATATCACTATTCCGATTCATGATCCTCCACGGACAGGTTCGTCATTGGATTGTCAGCTTGGGAGTGGAAGGATTTGCCATCGAACTTCCGGCCAGAGAAAAAACACTTAATATGTAGCCAACATTTGGAAAAAGAATGTTTTCAAGATGACGCGGGTTGTGACAAACACCCGATACAGCACTGGGACTTGATAAACAGCCGATACAGCACCGTGACATCATAAACCAGGTGGCAGCAGTGTTCCTTGACAAACATGGATGTCTCCAGTAAAGCACATTCAAATGAAAATTAATCTTAATGAAAACCACTTATTTATTTTACAGTATGTAATTATTTCATATTTAAAGTACTTTTAGAAGTTTGAATTCTGAATAAGATCAGACTTTTCCTTTAATCATATAAATCTCAGGGAGTTCTGCCTCTTTACTCCCCTCTAGTGGGCAGAGCCAGCATCACATGTGTAACAGCGGCCTGCTTTTTCTCACATTATGGGGCTTTTCTGCGTAGCTTTGGCAAAATAATCAGAGGTGTCCAAAACATTCACTTTTATTTCTCGAGTGTAAATCCTGCTGTTTAAAATGCTTTTGTAGAAGTCAGAGGATCAACTTCAGCTTTTCACTCCAGTAAAAGTCTAAACGTACCATTTTTAAAACTCCTTAAAGTATAAAAGTGAAAGTAAGGCAGGAAAACAAAAATGTTAAAGACAGAAGCTTTACAGCACTGCCCTATTAAATAAACATTTTTCTACAATTCTGGATAACTTCCTTAGACTTAATTTTTTTAGTTTTATAAATAATGGTAACAGCATCAAATTCAACTTTGCATCATCTTGAAAAACCGATTTATTTTGGTATGTGGTGAGCAACAGGTTGGGGCAGCACAGAGTACAACCACAAAGAAATTGTCTGGATGAAACTAATCATGTTGATGTTTTGGGGTTTTTTAAAATACCAACAGGCTATAATGAAAATGAGCTTAAATGAAACAAAACTGAGTTGTTTTTCTTTTAATGTAAGAAAAAGTAAAAAGTCTAAAAAAAAGTATATCTATACTCCAGTAAAGTATAGATAGCCATTTAAGGTAAAGTATTTAGACTTTGTTAATACTCTGCACTAAGGACATTACAGTAAAAGAGCAAACTGTAGAGAAGGAGCTTTGGAAACGGGACAGAAGAGCGGTGAAGAAACTGAGCTGCTCACTTGAAATGTTATTTTATTACTGCTGCTCCTTGTGACCCACAGGAGGGATCAGCCCAAAACATTCGGTCCAGCTGAGCTTCCACGTTTGTCAGGAACAAACATGTTGGATGGAGATAAACTGGAGCTGGAGGTCCTGGAGAACATTCAGTGGTTTATTCTCTGCTGTCTCTCATTTTGATTCATCCTCCTTTAACTGAAGGCAGAACCTCCTGGACTTTAATGTCTCTCTGGGGACACTTCTAAGCAGGATTTATTCTGGGTACAGCGATCAAAAGAGCCAGAACCGACAGCGATTACACATACATCTTTTATTTTCATGGGTTAGTTGTTCGGAATATAAACAGATAAAATAATCCAACAGAAAGACGGAGCAGCTGCTCCTCTGGAGGAGCTGCAGGTGGGCTGCTAGAAGTCCACGCAGCGGCCTTTCCTCTCCCAGTCTCCATATCTGGTGGGTTCTGGGCCCCGGGGTCCGCCTTTTTCCTTGGTCACTGGGTTGACGTCGTCAGGAAACTCTGCAGAAAAAAAAAACACAGTTGTAAATGTCCAGTCGTTCACACCAGCTGCTTCCCCAACTCCTGCTCAGAAACCCGCACACAGGTTCTCTTCCCCAGAGGATTGAAACCCAACATTCAGGCTCTGAGATCATCAGATAGAGTGTTTAAACAGTTTGGTTGAATTGGTTCAGCAAATTTTATCCGTCGTCCACAGACAGAGGGAGCCACAGAACAAGCCTATCTCGGGAAAGTTGAGTGGACGGAAAACTGAGCCCTACAGCCTGCTGATGAAACGCAGGCAGAACCAGGTAAGGAAGTTGAGCAGGATGGACCAGAAGCCCCAGCTGCTGGAAGCCTTTCAGTCAGTGATGTGGAACATTCTGGACCAGAAGTCTCCAAAAGAAAAACCTGGGCTTCCACCGGACACAGGCTTTAGGCTAGCAATGCATACACCCTTTACTAAAAACATGAAGAATTTACGCCCTGTTTTTGGGAGACTGGATGATAATTCATTGGTTAGGGCAGGGGTCTTCAACATTTTCCAGAACAAGGAACCCCAAACTGATGGCGAGATGGAGCGGGGATCCCCTAATTATATATATTCAATTAAATTGTGTTATATCAAACTGGTCCTATAGTCATTCTATTACAGATGGAGTAATGTAATGAAAGTAATTTCTCCCTGGGATTGTTAAAGTATTTCTGATTCTGATTCCTGGTTGATGGGACAGGTGTTGTGAATGAAATGGTGCCCAGCTTGAAAGAGCTCCTGTGTGTCGCTGAATGTGTGCATTGATGACTGAAAGACATCTGCTGCCTCCATTTATCTGTTTACTACAGTGTGTTGAATTCATGTTAATGTGTATTTAAAGACATTTCAATTACCGTATTTTCACGACCATAAGGCGCACCGTACTAAAAGGCGCACTCTCAGTTATGTGTCCCATTTCTGTATTTAACACACACATAAGGCGCACCGGACTATAGGGCGCGTTTTTTATATACAGGTGCATGTCCTCTACTACCTTTAAATAGCTCTACTGCGTATTTAAAAATACAGCGGGGGCAAAACTGAGTATGACTGTGCTTTATTCATGTATTTATTACAAAGTATTAATCAAACCTGGCAGCTGGCCGTGAGACAGACACATTGCAGATGACACAGCGCTGTGATCACTCCTAAATTAACTTAAAATCCTGAAACCTGCCGACGGAATATGTTCGCTTTTATTACCGGTATCCTGGTGCCTGCAGTTTAAATTATTTAGATGAAAAACACCTGCCAGCAGCCGCGGTGAACCTGGAGGCTACCCGTTCTAGAGGCTGCTGATGAAGGGATTTCTACTGTCGGTGCACCGCTGGTATGTGGGGGTCTGAGCGCCTCCGACAGAAATAGATAATCTAGATGAACTGACTGCAATTATGAAGTTTTCAGTTGGACTTTCTCACTTAAAAACATATTAAAACTACATTATTCCCACTGATCACAGCAAATATAGCTGCAAGATTTAGATTATTTAGATGAAAAAACACCTGCCAGCCGCCATGGTGAACCCGGAGGAGACCCGGCCCAGAGGCTGCTGTAAGTTTTCAGGTAGAAAAATAGAGCGGGAGCAAAACTGAGTATGATTGTGCTTTATTCATGTATTTATTACAAAGTATTAATCAAACCCATCAAAGTCATCATCCTCTGTTTCTGAATTAAACAGCTGCGCTAAATCAGACATGCCAATTTCCCCTTCTTCGCTGTCAGAGTCACTTTCCGTGCAGCGCGGCTCCTCAGAAATAATACCGGCTTTTGCAAAAGCTTGAACAACAGAGCCAGCAGACACGTTAGTCCAAGCATCTACAATCCATCCGCAAACGGTGGCGTAACTTGCCCGGCGCTGCCTTCCACTTATCCTGAAACTGTGGTCTCTGTCGGCCATCCATCGCTCCCACGCCGCTCGCAGCCTTACTTTGAACGGCCGCTTCACACCGATGTCGAACGGTTGAAGTTCCTTTGTCAGCCCCCACCGGGATAACGGCGAGCACAGCGTTCATTTGATTCACCTTTTTTTTTCACATCGGCTGTGAGATGGGCACGCAGCGATGGTGATGCGTGGAAAAAACCAACTGGTCTCCTCATATACACCTGCCTCAGCCACGCTTTCATCATCTCCTCATCCATCCAGCCTTTTCCATTTGTGTTAATATCATATGTCATCAGTGCGCTGTCTGTCTCGCTGTCAGCTCCCAGATCAGCTGCTCTGATTGGTTGATGCGGCGCGTCCAGCAGCAAAACTTCAATTTTTCCATAGCTGCAGCAGCGCGTTGGCGGTGCATCAGATGCTTAAACGCTCCCGACGCGCTGCGCCTGCTGCTCAAAACGCGCTGCAGGACCTTTTGCTGCACCTATACGCGCGTCAACCATTGACTTTGCATGTAAACTCGCTGCTTCTGCTGCACCTGCTGGGTCCGGTTCACACCGATGTCGAGCGGTTGAACAGCGAGCACAGCGTTAATTTGTTTCCCCATGTTTTTCACATCAGCTGTGAGATGGGCACGCATGGAGTTACATATTAACAGCGATGGTGATGAGTGGAAAAAAAAACACCTGGTCTCCTTACATTCAGCCACTCTTTCATCATCTCCTCAATGAGGTGGTCTCAAAAGTCGCAGTTACAACACACATAGGGCGCACCGCACCATAGGGTGCACCGCACATTTTGAGGGAAAAAAAAGACGTTTAAGTGCGCCTTATAGTCGTGAAAATACGGTAGTTCAAAAAAATGCATGAGGAATATATAAAAAGTCTAATCAACTAAAACTTTCTGGACCCCCATGCAGTATCTCCGTGGACCTAGGGTGACCACCCATCCCGCGTAGCGCATGCGCACACAGCGTTTGAAGCCCAATTCATTCGTCCAGCGAATTGAGACCGTGTCACGCATAATCAATGCAAGAAATATGAAAAAGCTTATGGTCGACAAGTTGTGCTTACTCTCATATGACAACAGATGGCAGTGAAAGCCCAAATTCATGAGATTAAATGTTTGAAGTCAATTTTTAAACGTCTTTCTACCACTTTTTTGTGATTTGAATCATCAGTGGCCGGTCTAAACATTTTCCAAGAATGCAGCCAGAACGCGCAGTGACGTAAAAAAAGCGCGCTCGCGTAAAATACCAGTTGGAACTGCGCATTATTGTACTTTTACACTAATGTAGTGAAAGAGAAGGTTCTCCTCAATGCTGCACGCTCCAACAAGAAATACAACTTCAAGAAGAAACCTGAAGGTAAGAAACCTAGATATGTAAGACCCCATTTGTCTAAGATGAAGTTTGATTGATTTTGAACATTGGTGGGCTGTCTACAGGGGTGCAAATGTGTCACTTTTAGGAAACAGTAGCCTTTTAGGTCAAAATATGTCATTGTTTTGCATAGGATTGTATTTTGGCACCTTTTTGTATTGTTTTGTATTGTGATGGTGATAGGTTTGCACTCCTCTGTCTATACTGGAAAACCATTTGGAAGCTTATCATAAATTAATTCTGTCTCTTATCTTTCTTATTTTATTCAGATACTGGTGAAAAGGTTTGAGTCCTAAAGGTGACCCCAAAGTCAGTTCAGTGTTCTGGTGTCCCCAGAGCACTGAACAGTTTTTTTTTTTCCCTGTTCCAACATCCAAGTTCACCATCCTTCCTCCCCCTTCTCGTTCTGTGAACCTCTGGAGTCGTGAGTTAAGCCTTTTTTTTATTTTTTTAAGTTCCTGTGGTGTAGAGCAACTACAATTCCTGTTAATCCTTTAATTTCAAATTATAATTTATTTAAAGTGAATAAATTGTAATAAAAAATAAATAAAATTGAATAGCTAAAGTAAATCGGAATTGGAAGTGCATCTGTTCATTGAATGTTCAAAGTATTATGAATCTTTATTTAGAAAGAAACACACATTGGTTGGCCTATTCATGAGCATACATCAGCAATTACACATGTTAATGGGAACAGGGCATTATTAATATACCATGTAAGGTGGTATGTGCTAGAAATGTGTAAACCTCTATCAGTGAGTCTGCCCGTGAGGTGGGGGCACCGCTGCACCAAGCAGTGTCCCACTTTGTCCCTCAGAAACATACCCCTTGTCCCCCCTTGGGCTTATTAGCAGGTGGTCACCCTACGTGGACCCCCTGTTGAAGACCTCCGGATCAGGGCACAGAGCTTGGAATCCTGAGGTTGTGAGTTGAGGTCCACTCCCACAAACTAACAATCTAGTTTTGTTTTTTGTTCTTCTGGGCAATATCGTCTGTAAAATGGGGAACTAACTTGAATCGATAAACGATCCTAACTAAAGCCTGACTGGAGCTCAACAGAACCACAGGCTGATCCATGCAGAAAGAGCTCAGAGCTGGTACCGAGTCCAGACAATGAACAGAACATGGGCTTCCTGGTCAGTAGGTCCCCGTTTCTGGATCTAAAGTCTTTTCTCCGGTTCTGATGAAGGGAATGTTGGGTTTCTGTTAAACAGAACCACCAACAGAACCACACAGGTCCAAACCAGTCCTTCCATTGATTATCGAAAAATGTAACTATTTATTATCGATCATCAGAGTTCATGTCCACCTGATGGAACCAGAAAGATAACTGCAGCTTTACAGGATGGAAACAAGCAGACAGGTTCGGTTCGGTTCCTTACTTTCTAGAACATCTCTGCTCTTCTCCTCCGGAGCATCGAACCGGCCCTGCGGGGTTTTCGGCTTCCTTAGCGGCTCCTGATCCTTCAGAGCCCCGCTGGCTGACCGGACCGAACCTGGACAAAGACAACACGATCACAACAGAACCCGATATACCGGTACCAGACCCACCTACGAGCCAACAGAACCGACCTGGAAACACTGGATCCAAAGCTGCGGTTCGACACCAGAGCCGTCTGCCGGCGGAGACACACTGCCTGAGGAGGGACATGGTGGAAGATACCGGTACCAGACCGACAGAATTCCCTCCGAACCAGCTCAGAGGACTGTTATGCAAAGATGTTTATGTCCTCTTCTTCTTCTTCTCTTAGTTTCTGGCAGTCTGGGCACCTTTGGTGCTTTGCTGCCCCCCTCTGGTCATTAAATATAAAACACCCATCAAAACATTACTGGAAAAGAGAACTATGAAGTGATTTTTCTGCCAAAACGTTACAAACAAAAAAGCATCAACTGACAATAGAAAAATTATAAGTCAATATAAAACACAAATATAGATTTAATTACTTAATTTCACAAAGGATAAAGTAATATTCCTACAGGGTGTAGCCTATAACACATACACTTCATTTACTATTACATGTTTATTACAAGACTATGGTTAACATTTGGACACTGTGAAACAATGAGATATTTGTTTAAGGTACGTTTTAAAGTGAACAAGGAGCTGTTGGTTTTCAGAGAAAGGAAGAAATGGAGAACGGTGTGACAGCTTATCTGTGTTAGTCAAATTTGATTGGTTAAATGAGCTACAATGTCAAAATGTACAAAGGAGAGGGGAGCTGATCCTGCAGGTGATAGAGACGAAGCATGCTGCCGGATCCCACCTGCCCCTCGCTCAGCAGCGTTTTCGTCTCTATCACCTGTAGGATGAGCTCCTCCCCTCCCTCCATCCAGGCTCCATTTACTTTGGCTTCAAACAGCCTCTGCATGGAGCGTAGGTTTGATTTCCACTTTGGTAGGGACACTATTGGTCTCCAGTATCATTGGACTAATGTCTTTGGTCCTATGCAAAAATATGCATGCTCTTTTTTTATGCTTAATGTTTCTATTATACAAGTACATTTTTAATAGTAAATGATTCAATTTAAAGCAACCTTTTATCATCCTATATTGCTTACTGTCTTACTGTTTAAATAGCTCCTTGTGTCTATTTTACTGGCTTCATCTACAAAGTACAACACTAAGAATGAGCCTAAGTTTATTCAAATATAAAATCATTTTTCACAATCATAAAATACAATATAACACTATCTTATCTGTAATGTAATAGTATCCAAAATAAACAGCTAGATTCAAGCATTATGTACCAGACATCAATGTTCATACTAATTTTCTTTTGGACCATGTGGAAATCTAGAAAAAAAGAATCAATGTAAAAAGTGTTCCTCTGTTTGTCTTTATCCTATTTCTAGAAGTAGCAGTGAATTAAATAGAACTATTTTTATGTGGAAAACAAAAAATAGCAGATCTTCAGCATCCTTCTTGTGTTGTTACGTTGTAAAAAAGAAATAACACCTGTTATTCATACCTGAACTGCCGTCAAAAATGAAAACAGTAATAGATAAGAAATATTGGTAAAAGGGAATCAGAAATGTTGATAGCTTACAGTCTTTGCTTGTTCATTTTAACAGTAGTTTTCAGAAGTCCTGTCTGACTCAGAATTTTTTGTTTTATAAAAGAAATCCTAACATTGGTTACTTAATCTCTCAAGTTCCACAAATCCAAACCCTCTCCTGCTTCTTTACAGAACTGCAATCAGAACCTTTTGCCTGCTTTAGGGTAGATATTATTTAGCTTTTTTTAATTGGGACTAGTTTCGTAGCCTAATATTAATTTTGGTAACAGCCATATTCTAGTGTCTTTTTTTATTTTTCGCGGTCCAAGCACGTTTAATATGGGAAAAAAGTCAGAATTCTGACTTTAATCTCAGAACCCTGACTTTCTCAGAATTCTAAATCTAATCTCAGAATACTGACTTTTTTCTCGGAATTCAGAATTTTTTTTCAGAATTCTGACTTTTTTCTATGGAAGAGGATTAGTTTAAAATGGGAAAAAAGTCAGAATTCTGAGAAAAAAGTTAGAATTCTGACACTTTTCTCAGAATTCTGACTTTTTTCTCAGAATTCTGACTTTAATCTCAGAATTCAGACTTTTTTCTCAGAATTCTGACAGCTAACAAACATGTTAGCATCAAGCCATAGCCAGGTCTGTTTTAGAGACTAGCTCTCTTGTTTTAATGACCTTCTGTTCCTCCATTAATGAGGGGACCCCTCGGGCAAGTCAGAATTCTGAGAAAAAAGTCAGAATTCTGACTTTTTTTTCCATATTAAACTGAAAGAAAATTTAAAAATCAGTTAAGTTTTATTAATTTTTTTCAGTGGCCCTAATCCTCTTCCGTATTTTCCCATATTAAACTGAAATAAAATTTAAAAATCAGTTAACTTTTTTTCCTTTTTCAGTGGCCCTAATCCTCATCCATACGCACGCGCATACATACAGACTAGAAAACACGCAATCAGGATGACGCCTGAGCGCAGCAGTTGCTCCTTAAACAACCGACTTCAGCCCAGCTTGGATTGGTAAAGGGGGAAATCAAAAACCAAAATCATCCAAACATGCAAAGCACAAAAAAAAAAAAAGAAAAATGAAATAAAAGAAAAAAACACAATCCTGTTTTCCCCCGTGAATGTAGTGTTGGTGCGTGCCACACAACCGCTCCAACACTACATTCCCCACAATGCATCTGAAGCCCGCAAAGTCACAGCAGCGCATAGCAGCAGTGGCCTGTGGGCCGTTTCTAATGGTAAATAAAAATCCAGGGGGCCATGGATAAACAATTGGCGGGCCTTGACTTTGACATATGTGGTTTAGGCAGTGATAAAGCATTCATCCTTGTTGTAGATTGTAAAGAAAATATTAATGGTTAGGTCACCATGTCTGTGACACGCCTTAAATCTTTAGTAGCAACCTGAAAATGTGTAAACCAAAGTCAGGTCTAAAATAGAGTATGAAAAAGAAAAAACAAACAAACTTAACCTTGTTAATTTTTCTAAAAATCAACCTTTATTTGTATGTATATTTTTCTAAATAAAGGTAAATTATTTATTTGCCTTTGTTGTTCTTCATGCTCTAAGATATGTATCACTAGCATATCTTCTGCAATGTGTATCTTTAAAACATATTTTTTGTGTGGGAAAACATCTTCCTGATGATTCTCTGGAGTAAAGGATTACTTAAAGCAACCCATCCTTGTTTGGAATAAAGTCCCACGCTTTGGTGGACACTCCTGTTTGACTCAGACCTGACGCGTTTATGCGTAATCACTGCGTCGGTGAGTATTTATGGTAATGAATTAAGTATAAGCTTTAATTTTTGAGCTGCTCTGCCATCTTCCGGCTGAATATTGCACTGCTGCTTCATTCTGTTTAATTAATTCTCTTGTCTCTGTTGTATCCAAACACTCACCAAGTAAAACTTTTGAAATATCTCAGACTTATAGTTAGACTTATCTTTAATAAGCTTTAGTTTAGAGTTATTATTTTGTTTAGGGCCCCCGGTAGTTGTGTAATCTGACACTAAGTGGGGGCAGGGCTATTTTTCCTGGGACAACACTGTCCCGACTGCATTTCTCTCTCGGGTGTGGCAGACATTCTTAGCTCTCTCCCGCACCCTCTCCGTCCACTTACCTTTCTCGCTCTGCGTAAAGACGCACGCATCCAACCAAAACTCTCCCTGTTAGACAGATTCCTGCTTTGTTTTTTGTTCCTACGTTTCCTCTTCAGACATGTTTCGCTGTGGGGTCGACTACAAACGATGCAGGTGGATCATGCCCCTGCTGCTGTTGTTCGCCGTCATTTTTGACATCATCGCCGTCGCGGCCAAGTCCGGATGGGTCGAGAACGATGACGGACCTTCTCACTACGCCAGCATGTGGGATGAGTGCCGAGGAATTGACGAAAACGTGAACTGCAGGACCCTCATGGATGAAAGTAGGTGTTCTTATTGTTTGTTTGTTTGACAGAGTAGATCAGGTCTTTGAGTTGCGTTAAACTGTAACCAGAGATAACTGGTGGGAGGAGGGAAGACTGCAGTCAGGTAGACTGAACTTTGGTCTCTCCTCTTATTTTATTCTCCACATTGTCAACCAGGATATATTTTTTTGTAGAAGACAATTTGACCTTTAGAAGACTTGATCAAAGACTTTCACAGCACATTCAGTCAATGGCAAGCTCATTGTAGCCACAGCTGGCCTGGGGCTCACTGACACAAGCACAGGCGCCTACAGGCCCAATGATCACCATCAAAAGGCAATGCAGGTGAAGTGTCTTGAGTTGGGATATGAACCGACGACCCATTCAATTCAATTACGTTTATTTATATGGTGCCAATTCACTACACATTGCATCTTAAGGCCCTTTACAGAGACAATGCAACCAGATCATAGAGACAGGTTGGTTAAAAGCTTTCTATTTAAGGAAAACAAGCTGATTGCATCCTCATTGACTCAAAGGCAATCCCTTACACCAAGCATGTTTGTAGCGACAGTGGAGAGGAAAAAACTTCCTTTTAATAGGAAGAAACCTCCAGCAGAACCAGGCTCAGTGTGAGCGGCCATCTGCCGAGGACGACTGAGGTTCAAGGAGACAGAAGCAGACATAGAAAAAGAAGCAGAGATATAAAAGGCAGCTGTCAACCAGCTCCACAGGTGGCCCCATCCAGAAAACATACAGCCAGGCAGACGAGCCCTGAGCTAGCTTCCATGTCAGAGGATGAAGAGAGCACATCCAGTTAGTCGCAGTCAGAGAAACAGGACTACACTGAAAAACAGGTCAAGCTCCAACATGTATACTGGTAAACAAAGGCGTTGTTGGCAGCAGCACAGCTGATATTTCTCTCTAGGATGGCGTCACAGCTAAACAGAGACACACCAGACAAAGCCACTATGATGAGAAAAAGCAGAGAGAGCATTACGTTAAAGGCTGAACTAACAAATACTGCAGAATGATTGAATAGAGATTGAATTACGGGGGGGGGGGGGGGGGGGGGGGGAATCATCTAGCAATCTAAGTCTATAGCAGCACAAGTGTAGAAAATAACTCAGGGTAACCTAAATATTTTGGATGAGGTATAAGAAAGGTAGAGCCACAATGTGGCCAAGGTAGAGCCAAGGAAAAAGAACTATCCGGACTGAAATTCTCACCCAGCACAACAGATTCACCCCTCTGTTGGAGGGCAAACTCCTGCATCTAAACTTTCACTTACAAAAAAAGTAGAAAAAAGAAACCTCTCATCACTTTTATCGATCTATTTACTTGAACTTGAGCTGATTTTTAAAGATTAAACTCAAATCAAAAGACATGAATACGCATAGAAATCTTCTGAAGATATTTATAGTTTTGAACTTAAAGGAATAGTACACCCAAAACATGATTAGCCTTCATTTTCTACTCACCTCCATGCTGAACAACACTCTGGAGTACTTTTTTGATATCTCAAATGCATCTGGAGATCTGGGAGGCTTCTTGCTGTCTGCTGACATTCAAATAATGGAGGTCCATGGCGCCCGAGACAGAAAGGTCCATAAAAGTCCACAAAAACGTGTCAATATTCCTCCATACTGCTCGTCCAATGTAATCCAAGTGTCCTGAGTGGGTAGCATCCAGAATTTACTCGAAACAAAGTCATTTAGAATGTTTTTAGAGCATAAACAGTAGTGTATAGGATTTCCTAATAGCGCCCCCATGCGCGCTCACGATTCTACGGAAGCCGGCAGACCAAACCGGAAGAAAGTGCGCATTCAGCGTCTGGTCTGCCGATAATGCAAGCGTAGAAGAAGAAATGTGCTGTTTACCTGTGCAAAGAAAGAAACAACGAAAGAAAAATGTCTGAGGACTTCAGTGTTGAGGAAGAGCATGAGTTCTTTGCCGAGCTGAATGCGCTGGTTTGGTCTGCCGGCTTCCGTAGAATCGCGAGCGCGCATGGGGGCGCTATTAGGAAATCCTATACACTACTGTTTATGCTCTAAAAACATTCTAAATGACTTTGTTTCGAGTAAATTCTGGATGCTACCCACTCAGGACACTTGGATAACATTGGACGAGCAGTATGGAGGAATATTGACACGTTTTTTGTGGACTTTTATGGACCTTTCTGTCTCAGGCGCCATAGACCTCCATTATTTGAATGTCAGCAGACAGCAAGAAGCCTCCCAGATCTCCAGATGCATTTGAGATATCAAAAAAGTACTCCAGAGTTTTGTTCAGCATGGGGGTGAGTAGAAAATGAAGGCTAATCATGTTTTGGGTGTACTATTCCTTTAAGTTACTCAACAAGAGATCATTATGGTAAAGTTGTCTCATCTCTAGTTTTATTTTACTTTATAGTTTTGCTTTTAAAAAGATCTACAGACCAAAATGGCAGGGTTTAACTTGCAGATTCTTGACTGAATGTTCAGTTTATTTTTTTAGTTTTTAGCACAATAGAAAATCAGGGACTACATGTTTATTTTGATCAAGATTGAAGAGATGTTATATAGACAACAGAAAGGTAAAGTCATCTTTAATCAGTTCGTGAGGTGACTGAATATGTTTTTGGGCGTTAATCAACCTTTTGAAATAAAACTTAAAAGGATTCATTGTCTCTTTGATTTTTTAAATTAAAAAAAAAAAATCGCTGCTGTTGGCAGCGCTGATTGTATGGCAGCCTCGTTTAGGTCATTCTGCCCCAGGACAGCTGTGGCTACAATGTAGCTTCGCTGAATGATTGAACATAATGCAAAGCTCTTTTGGGTCCCTGGACTCGATAAAGCAACATATAATGTCTAATGAAAAAACATGTCAACCCTAAAATGTACTTCAAATGAATTTTTTTTTATGATGGACAAAAAAAAAACAAAACAACAACAGCTAATTGTATAAAGGCTCTGAAACGTATAATAACATTTTTCATCATACCATGTATATGTTTTTTCTTTTTTGTCCTTTAATCAGATTACAGAGAAAGCGATGGAGGTTCTCTGGCTATCTGTGGCTCATAGTTACCCCCCCCTACCTGCGCACTGCCAGTCAGCTGGCTACAAAAGCATGAACAGTTTCAGTTTTAGAAAACATAGTAATATCCTGTTACTTTCATTCCTCACAGTGAGCCTCATAGCAACTTATGATTCATGAGCAGGAATAAATCACAAGCTTTTCTGAGATTTACTGTAAAACTTTAGTTATGGCTTGTTCTTTCCAGAAAAAAAAGAAATAATTATATAATAAAAAAACAAAAAAACATTTGTGTATTAAGTCGTGCTTCTGTTTCAAGATTTTTATCTGCAAATCAATTATTTCAGTTTTGTGTAGGAAGCCAAAAATGTTATTTCAGAACTGGCTCCAAGCCGCAGAACGAACCTGTTTTTGTCAAACTGACAGCGAGAGGACATGTTTTTACTGGCATGATCAAAATGGAAATGAGGAGCAGTTGAAAGAGGCTGACTTGTTATATGCAGATACGATCATATTTATAGAGAAACTGCTTCTCCTTCAGTCCAGTGGTTCGGTCAGGGACACATACCCCAGTGTCACACACTCAGGGCTTCGACCACGAACAGAACAGACACCTGTCTGCTCCTGCCCAGGTTCATTCCAACTCTTTACTCACCAACAAACATTGTTGCTCATCCATAGCTACTCTGCTTATGTCACTTACAGTCAGCCACAGCCGATTGCTCCCTAGGCGCCACACGATGGCAGCCCACTGCTCCCCAAGGGGATCGGTTGAATGCAGAGCCAAATTTCTCCAATGTGTGATCTAAGGGAGGTGGTGGCCTACTGATTAGTGCATAGAGCTTTGAATCCTGAGGTTCTGAGTTCTGAGTTGCCACAGAGGGTCCTTTAGCCAGACCCTTCATCTCAGACTGCAGCCTTAAAAATAAAGTTAAAAAAAAACCTATAAAAAAAAGAATACTTTATAGTTATAATTGTGTTATAAAGAAATGCTTAAATATACATACGATAATAAGTGACAGGAAATGGTTGGCTTAACTGTTTTATAAGTTTCTTTATCGTCACAAACTCTATGTGATAAACCATCTCATGGTAGATGACTCAGACGTCACTGAGTAAACAGAGTCTCTGTCTGTATCTATTTGATTTTCAATATGTCCCAGGATTGGAAGGAACATATAACCTGTCTTTTTATTTGGGTAAATCAAAATCATAGAAGGCCTCAGAGTTTTTTAGAGAAAATGAATCAGTGAACAGCGTCATAAAGATTAAGAAACCAGCAGATGGGTCAGAGCTGCCGCTTAAAGCTGAGTTACCTTATAAAACAATAGCCAAAGCTTTGTCAGAGGAGTGTTCATTTCATCATCTTGTCTTATTAACAAATCTGTCCTTTATTAAAGAGTGGAAATTAAAAAAGGGCTGTTTGGAGAAAGTCAATAGAATAGCTGTTTGTATGAGTCAGGAATGGGGGGTGGGGGGGTGGAGGAAGCAAGAGTACCCAGAGATCATGCAAACACAATTCAGATTTGGATTTAAACCTAGACCTTTTTGCTGTAAGGCATAGGCACCACAACTGCAGAACCATAGAGCCGCTCTCTTTGGACATGTTGTGTTAAACTAACACTGCGCCTCACCCTGAAAATAACAGTGAAATATGGTGGTGGCAGCATGATGCTGTGGGGTCTTTTTTCTTCCACAAAGATACCGAAATAGGTTGGTGTGGATTTTGAAAAACAAAAAAAGCAAACCACATGGTAATCCTGGAGAAGATCTGAAACTGGGGCAGAGGTTTTGAGCATACATCCAGAGCTCTAATATATCGCTCTGTTCTAATTGATCTAGATCTATTTTACCCATAAAACCAGTTGAAAATTTTTTTTTCTAGGCTTTTTCTAAAATCTCAACAACCAACTTACAGACAACCTTATGATTTTCTTACTGTTGAAAACCTTTTATACTGCTTTAGACATGTATGAAAGCCAAGAGAGCTCAAATGTGACTTACT